CGTCTCGACGACTTCCAGCCTCCCGAACAAGCTGGTTTTCGAATAGGCCTTAGCACTATAGATTACATACATACCCTTCGGCCAATTGTATAGAAGTCCGAAGAATACAATCTGCCACTTTGCCTGGCGTATGTGGACTATGAGAAAGCCTTTGGTTCCGTCGAAATTTTGGCGGTGCCACAGTCTCTTCAGCGGTACCAAGTTAACTGTCGGTATATCGAAGTGCTGAAGTGTTTGTACAGTAGGGTTACGATGGCTCTCTGTGTACAGAACCAGGGTACGAAACCTATCCAACTGCAGAGAGGTGTAAGACAGGGTGACGTTATATCCCCGAAACTCTTCACCGCTGCATGGGAAGACGTTTTCAAGCGAGTACATCACCCAACTTCGATTTGCCGACGATATAATCCCTACGACAGAATCGCTGGAGGACCTAAGCGCTATGCTCAATGACATCAATAGTGCCTCCCAACGGATAGGTCTTAAGATGAGCATGGATAAAACAAAGATCATGTTTAATATCCATGTCACACCTATGCCGGTTGTTGTTGGGAGCACTAAGCTCGAAGTTGTTGACGAGCACGTTTACCTGGAACAAATATTCCGACTAGGTAAGTCCAATTTCCACTGAAAGATCAATCGACGGATTCAACTCAGCTGGGCAGTTTTCGGGAAATTACGTTACATCTTTTCGTCAGGTTTACCTCAAAACCTGAAAACAAAATTGTACACTCATTGCGTGTTGCCAGTGATGACATATGGAACTGAGACATGGTCCTTCACTGTTGGCCGTATGAGGACACTCAAAGTTCGCTCAGCGAGCTATGGAGAGGGCTATGCTCGTGGTTTCTCTGACAAAGCCCAACGGTTTGATAAGCTGAAGTGGCAATGGGCCGGCCATATGGCTCGAAGAACCGACAACCGTTGGGGAAAAAAGGTTCTCGAATGGCAGCCTTGTACCGGTTGTGAAGTGTAGGGTGACCCCCTCACTAGATGGAGTGACGACTTGGTAAGACGTGCAGGAAGTGGATGGATGCAGGTGGCTTAGGAACGTGCTTTGTGGCATACCTTGGGGAAGACCTATGTTCAGCAGTGGACTTGTGAATGGCTGTAATGATGATGAAATGATGACGATTGTTTCATATACCTATGTATTTTTGGTTTTAATCAATTAGAAAGTACCTATATTTAACAATAAAGTAGCTCTATAGCAGTCTTCACTAAACAAAATCAGTCTAGTTTTAAGATACATAAACACTCACGCCTGTAACCCAGAGGGGTAGGCAGAGACTACAGACCTCCATTTGGCACGATTCTGACACACCTCTCCCGCCTTCTCCACATTCATATACTTACGCATACTTTCTAGTCGGTTAAAGTTACTCCTAGATTGGTCCATTTTCAATATATCGCCAATTTGGTCGATAAAGTTTCGCCTAGGACGTCCCTTTCCGACTCTTCCATTCACTTCTGCAACATATATTTGCTTTGTCAGTCTTTCCTCATTCATTCTTTCTACACGACCAAACCACCGAAGCATTCCTTTTTTAATCCTGGTCAAATCATCATCTTGCACACCACACTTTTCTTTTAACTCACAATTTCTCACCCTTTCACTCAAATTCAGCCGTAACATATTCCTTAGCGACCGCATTTCTACTGCATTTATTCTATTCTTCTGCTTCTGTTGCCACAACAAATTTTCGCTACTATACGTTTAATTAGGGACTAAGACGGCATTGTGAATTTCCATACGTGCCTTTATTGACACATTCTGACTTTTCACACTAGAGTGCAGAGCCCCATTTACTTTATTTCCTGCTTTCACTTGTCGTTCTATATCCTTATCACGTCTCCCACCCCTGCCGAATACACATCCCAAATATACAAACTCATCTACTTGCTCGATCAACTCCCCTTCTATTCTTATTTCACATATCGTTTTACTTTCTTCTCTTTCAAAAACCGTAATTTTCATCTTACTTGCGTTCAGTTTCATATTCCTTTCTATGAAAGACCTATTCATTAATGTAACCATCGTTTGCAACTCAGATGCCGACGACGCAAAAATAACTTGATCATCGGCGTACAAAAGGCATTTGATTGTTAACCCACACATTCTTAATCCACATTCTTCAGCTTTCAAATTTTCCAAACAACTATCCATAAATAGGTTGATCAGGCACGGGAAGCCATACAGCCCTGTCTGTCACCTTTATGGATGCTAAACCAGTGCGAGTAGACCCCGTTGAACTTAACACAAGCACTAGAGTATAAAGAGTATAAGGAGACTTTAATGACTGTATCAATCCTGCGTTCAACCCAAAATAATTCAGTGTTTGTCATTTAATATGTAGGTAAATAAGCTATTTAATAGTTTAAATATTCTTAAATAACTTAGCTTTCGTAAAATTCTAAATAACAAATTATTTTGGTCGTAGCTTGTACTCTTTGAAACACAAAACGCGCGCACACAAATACGCGCACATAAAGCTAGTTGTCTGAAAGTTGTGGCGTAACTCGCTTCACTTATACCTACGCAAATCCGCTACGCGCATGAAGATTAAGCCACACGCTTATATAATAGATAGATAAGACACCGCGCTTTCAACAGAGCGCGAGAATGTGCGACGTTCATTCCGCCTGCAACCGGCGTAGTAACAGGCGGTAACGCGGCGCGCTACTTATATCCGTTAACTTACATTGTTCTCGTAGTTAATTTCATCTTGTAAAATTTTTTGTAGTAAAAGTTGTTTATTACATGGAAATAACATTACTTCATTCGAGACAGTTAATTCTTATTCTTGCCCTTCATTAGTATTCGAATATTTACAATATAACGTATTCGAACACAACATTGGGTGTGGTCTTCACATCGGTTCCACATTTGAATACAACGTTGGGGCGTGGCCCCACAATTGGTGACCCCGCGTCTGGATTGGTGAATCCTACAATTGGTGACCCGTCGACAAAGCCGAAATAACGGTATATTGAGCTACGCATTGTATAGCATCAACGATTTAGCTTCAAAACAACGTGGCGATGACAAAGGATAGGGCGTGGTCCAAGTCAACAAGGTGAGCTTATCATTATTTTTTTATTTTGATATTGTGCTATGATGGACGAACCGAGTGTAGTCAACGTCACCGATCAGAAAGATTTGACTCCCGCAGAAATTATGAGAGTTGGTGTTAGAGTACCCCAATTCCTGTCAATGAGCCTGCCTTATGGTTCGCACAAATTGAAGGCCAGTTCCTATTGTCCAGGATCACGAATGACGAGACAAAATTCTTTTACGTAGCCGCGCAACTAGAACCTCCATACGCTAGGGAAGTTAAGGATATTATTACTAACCCACCTAGAATCGATAAGTACCCAACATTGAAAACGGAACTAATACGTCGTCTTTCAGTATCGCAGGAGAAGCGCCTTCAGCAATTGCTCAACCACGAAGAGCTTGGAGATCGGAAACCATCGTAGTTCTTAAGCCACCTGCAGAATTTAGCCGGAGCATCTGCAGCATCAGACGTCATTAAAACATTATGATCGAGTCGTTTACCCATTATATGATAAGATATATAAGGAGGAGATAAGGTATGACCTTATAGCTGCTAACAACACAGTCATATACACCTACGAACCGATAACGCTACACCACAATCTAGGATTGGGACGGAATTTCACATGGAATTTCACAATAGCCGATGTGACACGACCGATCATCCGAGTTGACTTCCTCAGCCACTACAATTTACTCGTCGACTGTAGGAATCAACGATTAGTTGATTAGTGACTGGTATATTATATCATAATAAGGTAAAATATTCTTATTATTGTTTTAAAGACTTGAACATCGTAAGCAAAAGTTTTAATATTACTGTTAATATGTACATGTTATTCTCAATTATTTGTAATTGGTAGCAAGCAATATTCCTTATACTATCAAAATTGCAGAGGTTTCCGAACAAAATTACACACACTATATATGAACATTCTAAACAGTAACTATGATATTATCGTACTCACCGAGACTTGGCTGATATCGGAAATTAGCAACAATGAGTTTATCGATCAACGTTATATTGTGTACAGGTGCGACCGTAATCGTATCAGTACAAATAAACTAGATGGCGGTGGTGTTCTAATTGCGGTATTGCGTACACTCAGATCATCTGAGTTAAATCTGTCTTCGACTAGTGTAAATGTTTCATTGCATAACCTAATCGAACATGTCATCATCGACGTCCCTAGTAAGCAATCCTCAAAGCGCCATGTCTTCAGTGCTGCTTACATACCCCCCAAAACACCCTCTACCGTATACGAACTTCACTTTGAAACTTTACAAGAGGTACTGTGTGATCCTAATTTGGATGGTTTCTATATTTTGGGCGACTATAATCTCCCAGATGTAACTTGGACACGAGGAACCACAGACGCCTTACATGGCAGTGGAGTAGGCTCATCCGTTACCTTTAACCTATTATGTAATTTAATCTCATTTCTAGATGCCGCACAATACAACTACGTAGTGAATACCAAAAATAAAATACTTGATTTATGCATATCAAACCGCTCGTGTAAGATATCGGCCGCTTTAAGTCCCCTACTTCCTGTTGACGCATATCATCCACCCTTTGTTTGTGATATAGCTCTCAATGCTGATATTGTTCCAATGAAAAAGCAGACGCTTCAAAGGTACAATTTTTATAAGTCCGACTACACGCACATCAACCGCAAAATAGAGTCCACTGACTGGGATGAAATACTTACTCCACTGGGGTCTGAAGAAGCACTTAGCGCATTTTACGGAATCATTGACGAAATTATCAAACAACACACGCCATTTGTTGGCTCCAGAACCTCTGCTTTTCCTGTATGGTTTTCGAAATCTCTAATTAGCACATTTAGAAAAAAAACGTAAAGCTTGGGTGAAATGGAAGAAATATAACAACATATCAGACTATGAGATATTTTCCCAGTATAGAAAGTTATTTAAGGATATGTGCAATAAATGTTTTTCTAAATATATTGGATCGGTCGAGGATAGCATACGCAAAAATATTAAGGATTTCTGGGTATACATCTCTAATCGTCGTGACAAATCTGGAATACCAGCTAAGGTTGAATATAATGATGATGTTTCAAGTGATCCACAAACAATATGCAACATGTTTTCTGAATTCTTCTCTTCCGTTTACGAACCGCCCTCACCTACACTATCGCAGTGGAGACCACCTGCCGATTCAGCATCCCATGACACTACTATTACTAATCTTCATTTTGAAGTAGAAGAGAGCTGAAATCCTTGGATCCATCTAAGGGGCCAGGCCCTGATGGCTTATCTGCTTATTTTCTAAGAAACACTGCCACAGTTATATGTAAACCCCTAACTATCATCTATAATAAATGTATTACTGAAGGTGTTATGCCCACAGTATGGAAACAGGCTAACATCACACCTGTGCACAAGAGCGGATCTAAACGTAGTGTAGATCAATATCGCCCGATATCAATTTTGTCCACTTTGTCGAAGCTTTTCGAGAGACTAGTGCATAACGAAATATATCCCATACTGCACAATATAATTATACAGCAACAGCATGGTTTCGTTAAACGTCGATCAACAAACACCAATCTATTATTATTTTCCAGCTATTTATTTGAAAATGTTGATGATCGCGTACAGGTCGATGCAGTATATACAGACTTTCGAAAGGCCTTCGATAAGGTGGACCACGAAATGTTACTAAATCGAATAGCTTACAATGGCATTCGGGGTAATTTGTTACGATGGTTTGTTTCTTATATCGCTAACCGTTGTCAAAGGGTTGTAATTTACGGATACCACTCTAACGTTACGATGGTTACCTCCGGTGTACCCCAGGGATCTATTCTCGGGCCTTTGTTATTTATAATGTTTATTAATGACATAAGTAACTGTTTTCTCAACTCAAAATTTTTATTATATGCAGATGATCTTAAAGTTTATGAATCTATTCATACTACACAAGACTGCATTCTTCTCCAAGAGGACCTAGATAGACTTACAGACTATTGTTACAAAAGTAAGCTTCAGTTAAGCATTCCAAGTGTAAATATCTCCGTTTTACTAAAACAAGAATATTATTACATTTTCCTACTCACTGTGTAACGTTCCTTTAGCTAAAGTGGATTCTATGCGAGATCTCGGTATACTGTTTGATTCAAAACTGTGCTTAGACTTACATATTGAACAAATTGTTAACAAAGCATACAAACTATATGGATTTATTATGAGATCAACTCGCGACTTCAAACGGACCTCTTCATATCTTTGTTTATATAAAACCCTAGTTCGCTCTCAACTTGAATATGCTGTGCCCATTTGGAATCCTTATTATAATAAATATATACACAAAATTGAAAATGTTCAACGCCGGTTTCTACGTGCAATGTATTATAGATGTCATAAATCTCATTTACCGTATGACCAGTTACTCAGTAGATACAAACTTCTAACCCTCCACTCTAGACGTAAGCAATTGGAGTCTATGACATTGTTTCATATAGTAAGATGCAAATTTGACTGTATTGAGTTAAACAATCGGTTATGTTATGTAGTTCCCAGAACTGTCCATAGACGACGGGTGCGTGCGGGTAAACTCTTTGCCGTAAGTACCTGTCGATCCAATACCGGTATTCGTTCACCAATTCGACGTATGGTTGCCACATATAATGAGACCTTCGAGCATATAGACATTTTTACATGCTCAAAGGAAAAGTTTCGTGGTCTTTTATACAAGACACTTTTCACATAATAATTTTGTTATATTAGTCACATTATAATATCACTGTTGACCATACTTTGACATTTGTATAATACCTTCTGTACAGCTGCAGGTCTCCTAGCGTCTTAATTATCTATCCCAAGAGGTAATCTGTGAACAGCACTGTGGGCTGCATTATTGCGTATACTATGTTACTGTACTATCTATATGTAATTATATATAATGTAGTTGTTAGCTGTTCCACTTTGAATAAAATAAAAAATAAAATAAAATGTCACTGCTCTCTCGGTCAACTTCGTAGCCCTCACATCAACGGAGGACATCGCCTCGGTAAAGTCAGTCACCGGAGAAACCGAATTTCTCCAAATACAATGTGAATTCACAACGTGAATTCCCCGAGATAACTCGCCCTTCAAGTATGCACTTACCATGCAAACATAACACTCTGCACCACATCGGGACGACTCCAGGACCTCCAGTAGCCAGTAAACCTCGACGCCTGGATCCACTTCGCATGCAAGCTGTGAAGCAGGAGTTTTTAGACATTCTCGCCAGCGGCATAGCCAGACCATCGGAAAGCGCTTGGTCTCCTCTGCACATGGTAAGAAAAAAAGATGATAGTTGGAGACCATGTGGAGACTACAGAGCACTGAACATTAGAACTATACCTGATCGATATCCCATCCGTCATATCCACGACTTCTCACATCTACTTACAGGCTGTTCTATTTTTTCTACCATTGACTTAGTAAAGGCGTACAATCAGATTGCTGTCAATCCAGATGACATCATGACTCCTTTTGGATTGTACGAATTCCCGTTCATGAACTAATATAAAAAATATGATACAGAATCGTGTTGGTCTTGAGCTGAATATTGAAATCATTTGACAAAATCTACTACACACCTTAATTTAATGATTATTATTCATCACAATCTGATTAAATTGATGTGAAATAAATTTTCGTTAATATTTTTATTTTGTGTAGTAACTTATATTTATTTTAAAATTGCTTATTTTTCACTTCATGAACTATGGTGGCGACACTTGGTATTTTATGAAAATATTCAGAAAACACGAGTTAGAAAATATTCTTGTAGATTTGACGGTTTTTATTGTTTTTTGCATGTAAATACACTGCAATTCAGCTTTTTTGTAAGAGCTCCATTACTGGTACGATCACTTGTATAATGGCATACGACGCCCAGCAACTAGTTTTATATAACGAGTATGAGTCGGACTCTCGTACCTTTTAGAGATGGGTATGCTTTGCGATGCCGTCTCCTTTGTTTAACACTCAAAGTTCACGAGTTCTTAATAATCGATGTTAAAAATTAAAACATTGATGTTTTAATTTTTAACATCGATTATTATCGAACATCGATGATCATAGAACATCCCTACCAAACATTCATAAAATTATGGAGTGTAGAAACCGTAGACAGAGAATCCTATTCATAGTGTGTCTATGTTTTCATAGTGAGTCCCACATAACCACGCAGCCGGCTGCGTGGTATGCTAAGAGCATTCACCACCTCCCTCCCCCGCTTCCCGGAGGGTAGCCCTTTAAATAGCTTCTGGGCGCAAAAAAAACCGGCGTCGGCATTCGCGGCAGACTAGCGCTCCAGAAAACACGAAGAAAAGAAGATCCCTCAAGCTCCCTATTAGGCATTAGGTTAGACAATAAAATAGTGAATAGATTATAATTAAAAACTACCGCATTTTGTAAATAGTAAATAAATTAATGTTAGTTCATCGTACTACCTTTTAATTAACACAGCCCTTAGCAATAATAAATAGCAATATGTTACGGACGGCGAGTGAGCAACCGCCCGTCACCCCGCGTACCTCATCCCGCATCGACACGTCTTCTTCACCCTGCATCAGAGCGAGGCCCCCGCGACCGCGAGTGCTTACACAAACTCAAGAACAACAAGCAAGAAGACACTTCAGGCTCCCTATTAGGTCCCTTTGGACGTCAGATTAGTGATAGCTTGTAAGACTGCCCCATTGTGTAAATAGTTTAATAAATTTACTTTTGTTTTTGTACAATCTTTAATTTAACTCAACCCCTAGCAGTTTAAAATAGCAATAAATTCTCTCAGTAAATAATTAGTCTTATATATATCACAGTAACAGCACAGAATAAATAATTTTGTTTCTCCTTTGATGTCGACAGCTTGCCGACGTTTAATAGCCTACATGTTATTATTAATCAGATAAATTGCGCACGCAAGCTAAATAAAATTTTATCACTACGCACGAGCGTCCATATTACTTTGCATCTTTTCCCCTTCCTACGCCATGGCGGACTTTTCATGGTTATTAAGGGCTATCAGAAAAGAGTTAAAAAAATATATTGCGAAATGTTAATTAAGTTACTTAGGTAAAGTACCTATTCTAACTATGATCGAATGACCATATTTTCGCACCTATGTGATTTCTACGATGCTCAACGCATACAACTAGCAAGGCCACAACAAATAAACCTGAGATACGATTGCTAACAGAAATGTGATCGTATTCTACTCAGTTAATAATTAATTTCAGTGTTTTGTGTTATTATAACTTAAAATATTTTAATTACAAAAGACATATATAGGTATGTAAGTATGTAGATACTTGGATAGTACTTGTGTAGATAAATTATTACTTAATTCTTTTTTGCTATAAGTACCTATCTAACAAAATAATGAAATAAATTCACCTTTCATAACTTCCTTCTAAAATCCTTCGGTAATTTTAAGGAATGATTCTTTTTGGCATTTAGCATCCATCCATGCAACAATTGTAGTAGGAACGTCGTTTTTCCACTACAATTTATCAAATAGGTAAAATAATATATGTAACACTAAACAAAGACTATTTCAATAAGTTTACAAAAAACTATTAACGTAAACAGCGTTGAAAAATCCTCAAAACAAACATTCAATCGCCTACAACGCGCTATCCCCGACTGCGTTTGTTACCCTGGGCACAGAATAAATAATAATACTACGTACAGAAGTTTCACTCTTTTGATGTTAACTGCTTGCCGACGTTTAATAGCCTACATAATTCTTATTAAATATTACTTTGCACCTTTTCTCATTCCCACATCACGGCTGTTTTTCCGAGGTTAATTAGGGCTGTCAAGAAAGAGTAAAAATACAGTATGTATAACATTAATAATTTATTTAATTCACAATTGTTTTACTTTAATATAATGTTTTATAAATTTTTCCGTCTCTAAAATACCAGTTATTAAATTTAAGAGTTGAAAAAACTTTAAATCTTAAAATATATAATTTTAGTAGATAATAAAAGGAAAAAAAATGGACATGGAGTATCGGAAGAGTTATCGATTTATTTTTGGTAAAAAATATGAAAAGATATTCATTCACTATACTAACTAGAAACAATAAATATAGTATTATTAATTTTATTTATAAATATTGTTGTATTAATATTTTTATTGTTTTATATTTCTTTATTTTACCTAAGATTTGTAATATATATTCCCCCCCCCGCTCCCCTTGTCAGCAAAGGTAAG